AAAGTTTTTCGCGGACGAAGTTGCGGGTACAGCTAGTGTTAGCTAGTAGATAATAGAACAACAGCTAGCAATTCTCCCACTATGAGAGCATTGCAATTATTAAATTTATTTTTAGATAAGGTCCAAGATGCTGACGTTTATACAGAAGCCTTGCCTTCCATAATTGCTAAAATAAGAATATATTTATCATCATATAATTTTAAGTAGTATAAATAGTTTTAAAATATAAACGTGTTGGCAATTAGCTGTAAGTATATATTGTGTTAATTAAATAAATAAATAAATAAAATAAAATAAATAGAAATAAAAGTAGTATCTACGTTCATCATGAACGCTACTGTTTGTACAAGCACAGTTTTGTTTTTAATTCCTGAATGACATAGTAATCTACAATAAATATAAATTCATTTTATTTTATTTTTCATTTAATTTAATTTCAATTCATTTCATAGTCCTCCTGCAAAGTTTCATAGAAATGATGAAGATCGAGTTTACGATTATAGATTGAAATAGAATAGAATAGAAAATGTAATTACATAGAATAATAAATTATATATATTATTATTTCTTATGTAGAATAATAGAATAGAATAGAATTTTTATGAACTCGTTTTTACAGTAATAACATAAGAAATACAAGAATAATTTACACATTAAAAAACGGAGTCAATGTGGGCCACAACTCAGCATAATGCTGGAAATAGTTTCCAGCTCTGAATGTGTAATGTAAATAATTTCCCGCTATTATAGGCTAACATTAAAAAGTTGTCGAAATGAAGAGAAACCTGTATTTTGGCATGCAGCGCTCATCCCAAACGCAAGGTTCAAGAAGCTACAAGTACGATGAAAGTTACAAACGAAGTAGTCATTTCAATGTAATATAAGTGTTGCCGATGGCAACCTTTTTGATAGTTTTTATGTTTTTTATATATATTTGAATTTTATATTTTGACGTTCTGTTTTTATATACTATTTGTTTTCTTATGCCATATTGTCTTTATATTTTTGCTAGCGAGCTGATTACAGCTATTTTACCTCACCTAAGAACGTGTCTCATTTTTAACCAGCCTTAATACAGTCCATCCTTCCTTCCGTAACAATAAGTATAAGTTTCAGACATCCTTATAATCCTTATTAATAGGTATTATAAACGTGAAAGTGATATTTTTATTTGTATTTCTTTGTCTTAACTAAAGATCCTGGGGAGAGGTACCCTATGGCCTTAAGTCAGTACCCTTCCCCTGGCCTTTATTCGAAATGTACCAAGTTAGGTTGATCTCCACAGGGTTCCTCCTGGACATCAATGTGGTTAACTCACAATGGGGTAACTGATATGACCGGGGGGGAAAGGGGATTGTTAGTAATGTGGACTGAAGATCCTATTGCTATCAATGTACTATGTCAGGTTGAACTCCTCGCGGTTCCCCCTGGAAACCATCGTGATAAATTCTTGGTGAATTTGTCACGATGGGCCAACTGACCTGACCCCATGCTCATACTATCATCCTCCACTGGTGCCCCGTCGGAGTAAACCGATAGCGCAGGCGGGTACACCATTCCATTATCATCCATAAAAAAAACTAATCTGACTTCGTGCTCATCTTCTACGGATGGCCAGCCAGTAGATACCATTAGTGCAGGCGGGTCTATCATTAATACAAAAAGAACGAATTTCCATTTACGATATATGATTAACTTTTTAAACTTATAGAGTCTACTCATACAATATGATATGAGGGAGAAATTAATCCCGGATAATTAAAAAAAAAAATTACCTATACCTACATATAAATAAAATTGAAGTGTCTGTTTGTAATATTGAAATAACCGTTTTTTACTACATGCATATGAACATAAATACGGTTCATACACCAAAATATTTTTTTTTACAATTTTTGTCTGTCTGTTTGTTTATGCTAGTCTCTTAAATGGCTGGACAGCTAGCTGATGTAATAAGGAATAACTTAGGCTACTTTTATTTGAGAAAAAATATTTTATAAAAAATAATATTAAATTCCATGCAGACGAAATCGTAAGTACAGCTAGTGGTTAATAAGTTTACTTTACTTTACTTTTACGTTACTTTACGATATTTTCAATTGAAGCTTGTCTGTTGACTGTTTTATTATTATTTTTATTCCTCATTTCAACGATTTTTATTGGTTATCTCATTATATTCGGTGAAACTACTTACCAAAAAGCCGTAGATTGAATTTTTTGAGTGATTAATTAAAAGTGAGCCTTATAGAGAAATTACTATGAAATTTGAATGTAATTAAAAAGCAAAGTATGGGTAAATTATTTGTTGAAGATTAAATCTTTCCCAATATTCGAGGCATGCGTAAACATACGAGGGTGGGTGTATTGATTTTGTTATTATTCATTAGCTTGATTTATTTATAACTGAAAGGAAATATAATGTGCGCGGAACTCGATATCTGCCGTAATTATTTCTAAGAAATATTTCTAAGTAGATAGTGAATAAAAACCTTATATTCTTAGATACAGTACTGGTACTACTAGTAGATTTATATAATGGGTACGCAATTAAATTCAAGCAGTAAATACATTATTTTATGTAGGATTATTTAACTTAATAATACTTACTGCGCTTGCGACTTTGTCTGCGTGGAATAGTGTACTTGACCATATAAAGAAAATATATTTAATAATCTAACCAAAATTCAAATAAACCAAAAATCTCAAAAAAAAAAGTTTGACCGTTCTAGCATCAATATTTAAAACGATTACTTGAATGATGAGTGTGCATGGCAATAGTTGTTCATGCACTGAATTTTCATTTAATGTTAGACATAGACACCTATATAAAAATACATTGTAAATAAGCTGGCTTTAAAAAAAAAAAAGTAATTCAATTGAGTTTCTTGCCAGTTATTCTCAATTGGATCTATATACCGAACTGGACGGTAGGGAAAAAAATAAAATTATAATGTAAAAATTTGACGTTCATAAGCGGCTAAAATGTCTTACATGAATAAATGATTTTTGAATTTTGAATTTTGAATTAAAAATGACAAATTTGTATCTATGCAAACTTTCTACCCCTGTTTTATTTTTACAAACTTAGAGAGTCATATTTATTATATTTAATCAACAGCCTAAAAATTGTTTCAAGCTTCTAGATTTCGTAATGACGATACTTCCATACAACCATTCATCCCCTTTTTCGCATTAAAAATCAGCCCATGTCCTTTCTCAGGGTCTAGACTGTCTGTGTACCTAATTTCATTTATATCGGTTCAGTAGTTTTGGCGTGTAAGACCGACAGACAGACAGACAGAGCTACTTTCACATTTATAATATTAGTAAGAATAATGTAAACATAGTGTCTACCTGCGCTGACGGTATCTACTGGTACCAGTGAAGGATGATAATATGAGCATGGTATTAGGTCACTTACATCTTCTAATAATAATTTTATACGTATCTATAAATTCTCGTGTCACAATGTTAGTGTGGTACTCCTCCCAAACGGCTTGATCGATTTTTATGAAATTTTATACGCTATTTTATATACCTACTGATATGTAGGTCTGAGAATCGGGTACTATCTATTTTTCATACCCCTAAGTGTTAAGGGATATATTTTTTTAATATTTTCGACATTATATTTAATTATTATTTAGGATTGAAAAATACATACAACCATAAATTTTCACCCTTCGAGCAGCAACCCCTATTTTTTAATAGCGATTTTTATTTATATGGCAAAACAATGTTTACCGGGACAGCTAGTAGATATATAAAACTTTAACTTGCGTTAACGCACACACATATGGTATAGTAACATAAAAAATAAATAGACAGACAACTACATTTGTCAGTTAACAAAATACAACAGATAAAAAATATATATCATCATATATATATTGTACATCAGCATATATAAATTCCTTTATAACCAAGCTATAAATATAAAACACTTATATAATTTTATTTGTTTCACCGTTATTTATTAATGTATGATACATTTAATTATTATTTAATAATGTATAAATATTTTTTTGCACAATAATTTTATTATTTTTTTTTTTTAATATATTATTGGGAGTGTTCACTGGAGGAGATATATAATATATATACATATACATATATATGAAATGGGCGCCATAAAAAAAAAATAATTTGAATGTCAATTTATATTTTGTCTGGTTTCCGGTAGAAACACCGTAACAAACCATAAATTAATTTGAGAGATGACGGCAAATTCGACCCCAGTCATGTCGGATTCAAATACCCAGTGAAATGTGATCATATCAAGTGTTACACTACGACATCGGCTATTGACAATGCCTCTGACTACCATATCTAGGTTTACAGTTGTATCGTTATATTTTATTTGCTTTATACTTTAGAATAACCGATCATGTTATTATAATAAATATGAATACATTATAGAAGAACTGCTGGTTTATTTTTATTTGTAAATATTATATATAATACTAAATTTATTGTTTACATCAGATATTAGTAATTTAGAAGCTTCATAAATGACACATACATACATAACACACACATATATAACATGACTAAATTATATTTCAAATAAATACATAAAAAGATTTAGATATTGTTGCCACTAATATTATATTGAAGTAAAATTAAAAAAACATCAATCTAAATTGTGCTATACAGCGCGTTGAACTCTTTTATATGGTGGCTAACACCATAAGATTAAATTTTAAATTCTTATACATTTATAAAATTATGCGATGAAATAGCTCTCCTGAAGTAACTGATTACTATATACTTATTTTTGTTGAGTTAGTAAACAAAATACTAGGATAAAATTGGGGTGTAAGTAAAGATCTTGAGACATTGATCTGATATTGGGATGAAGTGTAGCATCCAGGGATAGGCTGCAGTTGGTTGAAGCAGTCGAGGGTGGCCGGGTAGCAGATGTCAGCCAGCGCACAGTCGGCGCCATGTGGTTGGGCGGCACGGCTGGTGGGCGCACGGCTATAAGTAAGAGGTGCACGCGCCGCGGCGAGGTTAGTCGCCGTAAGGTAGCGCGTCGCCATCGGTGTTACCCACACCCTCCGGTGCGTTCCACCCCTACCAACCACGTCCCCGCACTCGCCTTTCTCACATTCTTCATCACCGGCGATCCTCGCTTGCGCAATCCAGTTCAAAACCGAAAGGTCGTCGTTATTGGCATTTAAACGCTCTCTGACATTAACGTTGCATTTAAATATGCGATGCAGCTTCCTCGTTGAGCTTCACTGTCGCAATTGTGGAGTTTGGGAAAGGCGCGTGTGTTGACGTGAGGTCTCTGTTGCAGCCAGAACTAAGCCAGCAGGGCTCCGGGCAGGCGCGCTCGCGCTCCTTACACGCACCGCAAACGACACCTGCACTCCCGCAACATGACCGCCACAATAGCTCTGTAAGTACCTATCACATTTATTACACTTTGGAAATAAACTACGAGTAATATAAAACAGAATCGGTAAATTTATATAATAACTATTAGGTGCGTAGAGTTGACTTTCTATGAACAACACAGTCATGTATTACAACATTAGCGTTGTCAAATCTGTCAGCATGCAATTGTCACTTTCATTGTCTATTTGTATAAATGATTAGTGTGAACGTGTGAATGTAACCTATGTCTTCGCGACACTTACATAGGGGTAGATTTATTAGAGGATGTATTATAATAATATACAAAAATTTGATCTGATTTGTCATGTGGAAATCAGGTTTTCATTACTCAACGCAGTCGACCGACCTCACGAATGAGGGCGCGTATTTCTCAATAAGTCTGCGAAACATTGCTTTTAAAATATGCACGATTTAGCGCGTGGATATTGTCTCCCGCGCAGCGCCGTCCGGGCCTCGGCCGCGCCCGCTGCGTGTGCCACTCACCCTTCTAGATTTACAAATTTACTCTATGTACTATAAGTAATTTATTATATCTGTGAACAAAACCGAAGTGCCTCCCACCGATGCCTAGTCTCCTCTGTTTTCACGATGAATACAGTATTCAATTGTCACTAATAGCTTGACCGCAAATTTATGATGTTAAAAGTATGCTTACAAGGTGCAACCAACTTTCTGTCACGTGTCTTCTCTTGCGTATGGCGAAACAAATATTATGCATTCGACTGGGTTACATAGTTTTATAAAATAATAATAATATACTAGTTTTTATATGAAGGTAAAATCTATCATATATTTCGATATAGTCTTGCATTTCTTTGTTTATTTTCCATTATAATATAATGTCAGCATCAAAAGTCGGCCACCTTGAATTAAAATAGAAATAACATTTAAAGCAACCGACTTATTTAGTATGTTGTGTAATACTGTTCTTTGATTGAATGGAATTATTAAAATATTTCCATTTGACTGTGCCCAGCAATTCCTAAAACGATATAACATAATATAATAATAACTAAATAATAATTGTATTAGAATACGTGAAATTAATGAGTTATTTTAATAAATTACGTTTATACAGATTAAAAGCATTAATAATTATTATACTTTGAAAAGTTCATGATATAAACACTACAAATTTGCTATAACAGATTCAATCGTCAAAGCTCTCACAAGTTGTCGGATTGCGACATAATCGCTAAATGTATGTACGGATGTGCCCACATACCAGACAATAGCAAACACATGATAGCTCCTTTCATTTTCAATTCCATGTCCCGTATACAATCAGTCGGATATAACACCTTTCAACCATAGGAAAGCGTGTAAATTGAATATTTATTGTGTGTCATAAAATATTCGATTGTAGAACAATTATATTTGAATTTCTTTTATTAACAACTGGCTGTTCCCGCGTACGTCCGCGTGGTATTTAACTTTATTTTTCTAAAATAAAAGTAGCCTAAGTTACTCCTTATTACATCAGCTACCTGTCAAAAAAGTCCCGTCAAAATCGGTCCAGTCATTTCAGAGATTAGCCGGAACAAATAGACCGACAGACAGTCAGACAGAAATGATAAAAAATGTTATTTTGTTACATGTACCATATATATATTCATATGCTTGTAGTAAAAAACGGTTATTGCAATATTACAAACAGACACTCCAATTTTATTTATATGTATAGATTACTTGGTATCGCATTTTCGATTTTAGATATCTGAGTTACAAGGTACCATAAATCCGTCCTCGTGGTATAATTTATCTTCATGTAAAAGTTAATTAATATCCATTCTTCTGTATAGTCAAGTATAGGTAATAAGCAGACGGACAGACAGATAGAAAGACACACTTTCGCATTTATAATATTAGTACTGACTATAGGAAACTATTGAAAATTTAATGAATAATTTGTTTTCCTAAAATAACCACAGTATAATTCAAATTTTAAGTGTATATCAACCTTATCCCGGATTAACACTTGATTTTTTATATTCTGTTGTTTGTTTATATGTCATTTTCATATGATAGAATTTTCAATAACCTTGCGGCTATTTTATAATTAATATAAGAATATGCATATTTTAGGTAGTTATATAATTTTTTTTACTTATTTTATATTACTATAAATAAAACTGATTTATACTCCATAGCAATATTACTATATTCTCCCTATAATCAATTAGATAATAAAATGTATGTTACAAATTAAAAGCAGTAGAGAGTAGGGAAAAATTAACACAAAGATTGTCATTCATATGTGGCTAATGTGTTCTACATGAATTTATATTTTTTGATTTGATTTGATATTATTTGTTATTTGTAATTACTTGTTTTTGATTGCAATTTAAAGTGTTATATATTAGATACGAAATTTCAATGCCACCTCAAATGAAATAGGATAAACAAATATTTATATAACTACATTATTATTTCGTGGTTCATAATTGAGTGTAATAAATTATAAACTATTTTATAACCATACTAATACACATAGAGTATTAGCCTCGTTTTGATTGCATTATGATGATTTCATATTCAAAGTGGAATAGATAGTTAGACCTCTATAGAGGTTACAAATAATGAGTTGCTGCTACAAACAGACTTATACTCAGAAATATCATATCTGTTACAAAATAAAGTGCACCTTATATTAATAAATATAAATTCAATATGAATCCTGTTCGAAAAAGTAGGTTCTTAATTTTATTGTTTATTTGTGTATGTTACTCAATTACTAAATCCAGTTTTATTTTAAAATATTGGACATACTTTGATAATAAATCACCATCACCTGCTTCTTCCTTATCCCATTTATTTGTGGTCGTCGTAATATGTTTTTCTCTTCCATTCATCCCTGTTCGCAGTCATTGATAATAAATGTATAATGACTTATACTTTGATTTTAAAAATACATTGTACAATATAACGCGTTAATTATACTTAACTGAACATCTTATGTGATATACTCTGAATGAAGATTTGTTTATAGACTGATCACAAATATCCTACGAGAATAATAAAATATAAGTTTATATATACAGTATAATAAATTCTTAAGTTACGGATATGATATTTGACAAGGGAAATGTTCGTGTCTGAAAGCCACTGAGCAAAGTATTCCTTTGCTCCGTAGGTGCTAGATACGAATATCTACGTAAAAATATAATATAAAAAAATATATACTATATAAAATATTTATTAGTTGAAACTATTTAGTTGTTGTCTTATTAGGTTTGTTTTCCATAACATTAATGATTTAAGAAGCAAGCAGTTCTATAAAATGGTAAACACATACGTTCGTGAATATACATCCATTTTAGTTTTGCAAATTAAAATATTACTCATAAAATATTATATAATATTCGGTAACTGTTTATAAATTAGATATCTGCTAGATTAAAATAAGGTTTCGTATGCACATTAATGGTCTTTATTTATGTCACCATACAGTTCAGAATTTTAAAATATCTCATATTTCGTGTTACAAACCGCTTAGGTATTTTAGATTGCAAATTTACATTAAAACCGGATTAAAGATTATCGGAGCGTTCTCGAAATTCCATATCATTACGAAATCGAATTTCTCATTGTCTTAATCTATATAATTCTAAATGATATTTAATTAAGTGTATAATTACCGTGTTACATTGGATTTTTGAAATTGTTTGCTTTGTAGATGTTTTAGATAGAAAGTAGTTATGTTTTTACATTCACCTTACGTGTATACTTTGTTTAAAGCAGTCACTACTTCCTAATTAGATAAAAAAACCTCCAGAATTGTTTATTGTATATTACCTATGAAGTAGTTGCTTGTTGCGTGTGAATTTGGTTATGATAACAAAAAGTGTTTTATGTAATTCATTCAAATAATTTCGAATTTATAATATAAATAGGAAATCATGCACCGTCTGCTTTACATCATGAGATATTTAGGTTCTGCTAGAAGACAAAGAATTATTATATAATACAATTGATAGTAATTAATAATATAATAATTAATAAAGTATTGTAAGGGAATTTTAATATATATTATATTATGTAAGTATATCTATTAATAAAACTTTATATAAACTGATAAAAATGCTATTTCAGACCTGCGTAAAGCGACAACGATTGACTTTAAAAAAATAAGGATGTATAAAAAAAATAAGAATAAACGATAATTATAAATCACAAAGATGTAGCTATTTGCTAGTATACTATCGTATGCTAAATGATTTAAACATAGCAAAATGCCAATTCTATACTTTCAAATTTCATATTTTAGTGGTGATGAATATTTTTATCAGACTCTTCAACAAGTTGTGTTAAGAGGACAGAATGTATTGAAATAAAAAAAATATACTATATCCAACCGCATAAATAAAATACTAAGAAACTAGAAGGTATCCCAATAAAGTGGTTGTAGAATCGCGGAAGGCGTTTTCCAATTCGTCCGCGACTTATAGAATAGTAAAAGTCTTGTATTACGTCTACTATAGGGATAATAATCTTACGAATTTCACATTATTGTGGTGATGAATACATTTATCAGACTCTTCAACAAGATGTTTTAACAGGACATAAAAAATTTGAATTAAAACATCTATACCTATATTTAGTTGCATAAATAAAATACATACTATACTTATATCCCAATAGAATGGTTTACTTATAGAATAGTGCTGTGAGTGTGTCTAAATAGTAGAGTCTTGTATTACGTCTACTGTAGGGAAAGACATGTTCAAAAGTAATATGTAGTGGTTAGTAAGGAATGTAAGAATACAAAAACGCGTATGACCATGTGTCCATGATATAACTTTCGATATGTACTTACTAGAATATTTAAAAAGGAAAGTCGATTACCGTGACTACATATTTGCACCGCATCTGTATTACACATACGATTTACATTTCACTGTGATTGATAAAATGCGTCACGCTTGGCACTTATTATATTGTAGTATTGATGCTTTCCTACGATTATATAATAGTATCAGACAATATTGTAACATGTGTGAG